CATTAAAACAAAACTGGCTGAAAATGATGCTATATGTACTGAATGTAAAATTAAATAGTGACCAGTCTTAAACGTATCCCCACCGTATTACGAGGACTCGCTGGAATGCACAACGAACAGTTCTTACCGTACCTTTTGAAAACCATACAGGAGTACGTTTGGTTTAATATTTTCCCTACAAAATATTTTCCCGACATAAAGTGTTGTTTTTAGGGTATGCTGTTTAGTATACGTAAACCATTATATAACCAACTGTTACGTGGCATATTTGGCCATCAGGCCAGACTGCCAACAGCAATTTTCAGTGTTTTAGAAGTAGCTGAACAAAATGACAAAATACCGATATAAATATAAACATACCTATTTGTAAAGTTTATGATCTGTATAACAAGGCAAATGTAATACCATTATTTGGAAAACTGACAAAAATGACTGTTTGCAAAATGTTTCGTAAGAGTCTCATATTAAGCTTCAAATAATTTATACTATTTTGTCTGTACTTAAACTCATAGCTGTGTATATGGTATTTAATAATTATATCTTTAATTTTTCCTATACAATTACAGTCTCAAAATCACGTTAATTTAGACTATTTTATTTTTTACATTTTGTGCAGCATTCAGAATACTTAGCCGTTATCAGTGTGCGTTCACACAGGATGCATATGCGATACTGTTTATGTTTTAAGACCTAAATGTTAATTAGTTCAGTTTGCTTTTCCTAGTTGGTTGTTTATATCGAGTAGTGTATCATTGGTTGGTAATGTAATATGAAATCAAATTACAAAACGTAACAGTAATTCCACAATACGTTGGTAATAGATTGGCTAGATTGGCATATTATGAAATAAATACTAAGATATTAGCAAACACATTACCGTGCTAGTACATTTTTTTATTTTACTTAATTTTTTATTGTCACATCAGAAATTATCTGATTATTTCAGATTTTCCGCTTGGAATCATTTCTTAAGGTTTATTAGTAAGGATATGTTTTTTTTTCATACCATAAAGACATTTTATACCTCTGAACTTCAATAAAAAGACTTACGACTTGAGTTACCTGCAAGATTAAGTTTAACAGGAAAATTACGAATTGCTAAAAAAATCTGATGACGTTTACCTTCCTGAACGAGGTGTCCGGAAAGATGGGGACGAGGAAACTTAGGGACACGGAAACTTGGGGACAAATCGGGTTTTGAGCCGAGGGGGAGGCAAACGGAGGCTGACTAAGCTCTGAGAACGACTCTTTAAATCGACTCGTTCTCTATTTTTATTGTACCTAGGTCTAGTCGTAACTACGACTTGTATTTATATCTAGTTCTATCTCCCCTTACATTTTTCACCTTGTTTAAATGGATACTTTTGTAGAGCTTAGGGACAACAGATTTAGTACATTGAAGTGTTTTTGTAGGGTTATTTTATTAATCACGGAGTAAACTCGAATTGTAAATGATTATTCAAGCATACATTTTTTAAATAAAAAATACACTTGAATATTTCTAAAACAGTAGCTTCAACTTCGTAAGGATGTTATAGCCTCCAATTTATGTTATACGACCGTGAACATAGACGAATTTCTCTCGTTTGTATTAGAACAATAATACAATATAATTCAGGAACAACCCGTGACTAGCTATTACTGAGAAAGATTAAAGAAATACTTGTTGTAAAATGTAGTCGTAGGCATCTGGTACAAAGTATTCCACATTTTGTTTAATCTAAGCAAACCCATAAAAATTCAGTACTTGGAAAGGTAATGGAAATATGAGTGAACAGAATACAGCGATGTCCCGTTAATCCCCTCGCACGTTTCTCCGAATCGACTTCATTTGCAATTTCTTAGATTTTCCTTTCAACCAGGCCAGTTGTTGGGGTGTCAGGTCACTCGGGTCAGTTAACTTTTGTGTAGTTGCGAGAGTGTGATTGACCTCCAATTCCCAACCTAAATATTGTTTTGGTTTTACGTGGCAATCGCAAAAGAGGAACTCTAAGGATCAGCTGTTGATAAAACTATTTTTTTTGTGAATTCTTAAAAGTGGTAGTAATTTAGGCCTAATTTATTCCTTCGTCGTCAGTATATACTGATTGAAATATTTATATAAACAATTATCCAAACACTGATTTGTATGATATTGGACACGTTTTCTTTAATTCTTTACTGCAAACGTCACTTACCAAATACCAATAATGTGACGATATAATATTTCGTCTGAAAACAAATGCCGATCTGTTTAGAAACGTGTTCTTCCTACAAACTTGCAATTGTATCTTTAAGTTATAAGTTATTTACAATCAGTGACGTGTTTTGGAATCGCTTCCAGGACAATTAATTTAGTGACAAATTTTACACGTTCGTTATCGGTACAGGTTTTTGAAAAAAAATATTTATACATCTCATGTCATAGACTCGCGGGCAAGAATAACTCTTAGTAGGGTCAAAGGAATCCGAATCAGAGTGAATCAATAGTACTAAGTCTTAACAAAGTAATACATTTTGATAAATTTTTGGTCAATTGACAATAACTTGTTAATCTAAATAAGGTGAACTAATGATCTCAGGATGAAACTATCAAATTAATTTAACCAGCAACAATTATATTTTAAGATAAAAAACATCGAACAGTAGGCCTACATTTAAAACATTGTTTATGCCAAAACCATGAGTAACAACGAATTCTGTTAGTTGGCAGCCTAACATGCAAGGTATGATGTTGGATAAGGCAAAAGTATGTAGGCATATAGTTATAACGCCAAGAATAGGAATAATCTTCTTAATGTCTTTCGCTGTGCGATCCGGTAGTGCCGCGAGGCGCGAAACTAAATTAAAATACCCCCGCCGCAGCTAACCTGCAAACTAAGCTAATTTCCATTTACCCGGCTTGAGTTCTACTAAAATATTCCATAAAAATTGTCAGATTTATTTACTATTTAATTAACATTAATTTTAGTAAGTACTTAGGTTTGCTGCTACGGAGTATTTGCTACACTTTTATGTATATGCTCGTCGCCGTATGACTTATAACAACACCATCAACGTTACAGCTTCTTTGGCATAGTTATATTTATTTTTACCATAGTTATAATTACGAGACATCCGTTAATATATCAAGGTGATTATTAAAACTAGGGTTGCTTTCAGAGAGGTGAAAGCCAGTTGAGCGGAACAAACGTGATTTGATATTTGTATAAGTAACTAAATGTAAAAAAGTCAATAGATGTACTAATGCTTGTTTTATTGATTAAAATTATAATAATTCAGATTTGTTTTTACTACATCTTGTTATTCAGATACCTCTTCCAAAAGTGCATTATGGTAGTTTTGACCAGGAAAATATTATCAGTTTATTTGGTGCAACACAAATAAACAACCCAATCACCTACTTATAACCTACACTTTACCTCCCTAATCTAACCTTACTTCAAAACACTTAATGTAGTCACGAATACTCATGAACCCCGACCTACCTTCCCCACATGCCTAAATTAGATGAGTGTTCAATCTGCGTTTTATTAATAAGTGTAATAACTTACTGCACCGTCGATGTAATTCAACATAATATAACCTGTGAGGTATTATCGGATTAAATATCGATTTCGATGCGGTTTGATATATCGCTTATTAAATCCTGATTTCTAACATTGGCTGTTTCTAATCAGCTGGCAACACAAATAGGTTCCCAAGAAAGTAGTCACTGGTCCGTATCCCTCCGCTCCTTGTTTATGCTCCGCGCATTGAGAAAGTAGTTCCGTATATTTTCTCGATTTTCAGTGAATTCCGCGCCTTAAAAAAATGTTTTAACGGCATTTTCTTGTTTATTGAAATCATAGGAATGGTTAAAAAACGTTTAAAAGAAAAGTCTAGAAAGTTCAGAAATACCTTATGATTCTCTTGTTTACATTTTTCTTGTAAACAAAAACTGTCATATGGCTACTTTAGTCCCATAAGCCTAATGTTAAAATTTGGAAATTTTAAGTTCGTTTTAAATTGCATTAGCATTATCTAATTGAAATTTGTTTGTTTATTAACCATCTCACTATTAGTCTAAGTAATCTTGTTAAGTTTGGCTGAAATGTGTTCTGCCGTTATTGAGTGATGTTGCTTTATTTGTTGCATTGAAGTTGATCCCAAAGAGCTACGCTCGCTTCGCTCGCTCCGCTCAATAACTACAAACTGACAAATCAGTTGTAGTCTCCAGGTATTCCGTATTCCATTTACTATGTGATTTACTGTCAACAGTGATATAGTCAGTAGATAGATTTCGTGGGAACTAGATAGTGACAGGATTATGCCGGGTTGCTTCATCCTCAAAATTGCAAAAAAAAATCAAACTAATTATCGCTATTCCAACGCATTATGTGCTTAAACAAATAACATTTGAAACGATTATTTTGTTGTTTAAGAGTTCCTTCCTAATACACTGTATCATCGCATTTTAGGCTACTTAAAATACTTCTTAATTTTTTTAGGTTTACTGTTTGGAAATATTCAAATTATGATTTTGAAGTCAATCCCGTTACTGTAGCTCTCTGTGAATTGAAACAGGAGAACGATTCGTTCTAAAAGAGTCGTTTCAGAGCCTAGTAGTTTTTCAGTTCTTATCAGGCGCTCGTGGAGAGCGGACCTCCTTATCTGTTCATGTCCGGCTAGTTTCCTCGTTGCAAACTGTCCAGCTCATACCTGTCATTGTGTTGTGTTATTGTGATTTTTTATAATTAATAAACTATTTACGCGGTTGGTGAAATCGGGGATAGCCAAGTGGCGTTGGTGAAAAGTGTTTTTTATACAGTAAAGTGGCTCAGAACATGACAAGTGAAAAGTGCGGTAAATGTGAACTACTGATTGATCAGCAGAAAAACTTAATTAAATGCACGGATTGTAATTCTCCGTTCCATTTAACCTGCTGCAGGAACGCGTCTGGAGATTCTTCGAAGAGGTTGACTAGGAATTCATACAAGTGCGAAGGCTGTGTATCCGAAAACTCATCGACGAACAGCAAGATGGGTCTTGATCGCGATACGGCGACTATACTAGATGCGATAGCCGCGCTACGTAAAGACACTAATGAATCTTTCATCGGGTTACGGAAGGAAAGTTCTGAAATGTGGCAGCAAACACAAAATAAATTAGATAAAGTCGAATGTGATATAAATATCCTAACAACGGGCCTCGGTGAAGTCAAACTACAATATGATGAAGTGAAGAGTAAAATAACAGCTACAGACATAAATGTAGAGAAAATACAGGAAGAAAACATAGAACTACAAACCAAAATACTAGATATGCAGACTGAAATCGAAGAGATGCAGCAATATTCCCGTATAGATAATATCGTTATCACAGGAGTGCCCATGCTTAAAGGCGAAAATGTCTTCATGATCCTAGCCGACATTGCCAAAGTCCTCAATATTAACTTCCACCGGTATGACGTGTCGGCTGCCCATCGTCTTTCAAATAAAATGTCCAAAGGTCGTCCTCCCGTGATTGTCGTGAAATTCTCGTCCAGAACTATTAAATCTGAATGGTTAGACGCTAGAAAAGAAAAGGGATCTTTAAAAGCCAACGAAATCCATCGTATCTTTCCTGATTCGACTGTCTACTTTAATGAGCACTTGACCGAACACTCTAGAAAGGTCTTTAACTTAGGCAGGGATATGGTCAAAGAGAAATGTCTGGCTTATGTCTGGGTGAAGGACGGGCGCATACTCGTCAAGCAAACGGAACAAGGGAAAACCATCCGAGTAAAAACTGAAAACGATCTCAAGCGAATTCGTCGTTCTTCTTCTGGACCTGCCGCTCTCAAAGATGAGGTCTCCGAAGCCGCCGCCCCCGGGAACGCCACCACCCCAGTGGTCAACTCAGATGCCCCAAGCTTCACCCCCGGTGATGTTGACTCCGCAGCCTCTGCCGCCGTCCCCGGGAACGCCGCCGCCCCAGAGGTCAACCCAGCTGTCCCAACTAACTCCACCAGCTTCACCCCCGGTGATGTTGACTCCGCAGCCTCTACCGCCGCCCCCACTGTCACCACCCCACCGACCAACACGTACGCCAAGACACTGGCCTCACCAGCTAAACCTGGGGTACCCTCAAAGTAAAGTTTTAACACCATAAATTGTAAGTCCCTCTTTTAGAGTATACTTTTTATTTAGATGCATAGTATTTATTTATTTTCTCAGAGTACCTATCAAATTTAATTTTTTCATTAACCACAGTTTATCTGTAAAGAAACAGTTCAGTAAATGTAATATGTATGTGTTAAATCTCCTATAAGTATAGATATCTTTTACCTGAAACAAAAGTCAATTTTAGATATCTTTATTTAATACCCCATAGTAATTTTAGTTAAACTCAGGCAAATCAATAATGTGTCTTTTATAACGATAAAGAGAAATACAAATAGCATCGTAATTAGGTATCTACTTACACACTACAGTATACTCTTTTAGATGTAACAATACTTTTTAGCTATAACAATTGTTTAGTTGCTTTTATGGTAACCAGAAAAATATCTTACGACATAGTTAGTTTCCACTAAAAGTAGTTGTTTATTAGGTCTTTTTATTTTATTTAATAATTTGTTCAATAATAGTAAAAGTATATTTTAGAGATACCACAGTGAAATTATAAATAATACAGACAAATTAAATACCACTTTAGTGTAACCAAAAACAATAATACATTAAACTATAATTATTAGTCAATTACAAATACACAATACGTATTCCAAATAATTAATATTATAAATAGTTAATTTTGTGCGTTATTACAAACGTATTATCATTATTATTACGTATGGTTATTATTACAAGTACAGTAAACTTATTACTTTTCAAAATATAGTCAGAAAGCTATAGAGGGGATTATTTCATTTTTTATTATAGTTAAATTCTAACAAACGAAAAGATAATAGTCAATCTAGTAACAAGAACTATATTTCCAAAACACATATAACAAGAAAGTAGTATTCACCAAGAATTAGCCATTTATCTGTATTAACAGTTGCTCAAAAGAGTTGTGTAGGTTTAGTGTAATATAATAAATATGAGATATGGGTTCAAAGTATTTAATGTGTTCATCAAATCTAATGCCATTCATTTGTTCATTTATTTCATTCTATTAAATTGTCATCCACTTTTAAAATATCAGTATGTAAAAAAACCCCTCAACATTTTCAAAAAATAATGTCTCAAATCTCAAATCATCTAAGGTTGGTCTTGTATCTAACAATTACATTTTGCCAATAACCCTTCCTTATAAGAGACTAAAGCCCACCTTGTTAAAAAAAATGTTGGCGTATATTTTCATTTTATATTTTCATTTTAGTAGTAATTTTACCTTGATGAAAGGAATGTGGTAAGGATGTGTCTTTAGATAAGACTAAGATAAAATCATAGTTATCGGAAATCTTATTTTTTGTGATTTTCCAATCTCCTTGGCATTGTAGGATTTATTTTAATTAAATATGTGTGTAAATGAGTGTATTTATAGCAGAACATTCTTATATGAATAATTAATATTTAGGTTCGTAATAAACATAAAGAAACACGACTTTGGATCTGTTAAATTAATTAGGCTGGATGGTTTTGCGATAGGGACCGGGTATGGACATGTTAAACGAGGAAGATTATAACGAATTTCCAATTAAAGAATGTAATGTTTACTCCGATATAAGTACTCTTAATTCTTGTTTTGATTTATCTCAAAGTAATTTCGGGTCAAGGTTTAGAATAATCCATCAGAATATAAGGAGCTACAATAAAAATTTTGACGAATTTTGTGCGTTTCTCCAAGGAATAAAAACCCATTTTAATTGCATAGTACTAACAGAGGCATGGTTAAAAACAGATTCTATTTTAGAAAGTATTCCGGGTTACAATATTTTTAGTTCAAGCAACAATCTTAATCAAAGCGATGGTGTAGTTGTGTATCTGGATAACTCTTTATCTGCAACCTGTAATCAGCTGTTGATCGGCGGCGTGGCCACTGCCTTATCTCTGACCTTCGACTGGGACGGTCAACCTTGTGAATTACTAGCCGTTTACAGGAGCCCTAATTCTAACCTTCAATTGTTTCTTGATGGTGTTTATAACTATTATAACTCCACTTCCCATTCAGAGTATGTTCGTATTTTCTCTGGTGATATAAATTTCAATATTTTAAACCCATCACTTAACTCAGCTGAAGAAAAATATGTTGACATCCTTAGTGATTTTGATTTAATACAATGCATTGACAAAGTAACTCGCCCTGAAAGTAACGCATGTCTTGACCACTTCTTTTTGAAATTAAAATCATTTCATTCAGCATATCCCGCGGTTATTGAAACTAATATAACGGACCACTATCCTATTGTTCTAGAAATTTCTAAACCTAGTAAACAACATCCAATCTCGAAAGATTCATTTAAAATAAAAATTGATTGGAATAAAATTGATGAAAAACTAAAAGAATCTGATTGGCAGAATATTACCAATTGTAGAGAAATTAATACCTGTACTTCTAATCTAATTGAAACTATCCAAACTATTATTCATGATGCATCCAAGGAAGTCAAAGTAAACGCAAAAAGTAGAAAACTTAAACCTTGGATTACGGCAGGATTGCTGACATCAATAAGGAAACGGGATATGCTCTTTAATACAGTAAAAAAGAATCCATACAACAGGCAATTAAAAAATAGATATAACCAATATCGCAACATGCTACATTCACTAATTAAACGCACCAAATTCAATTATTACAAGAATAAAATCGAGGAAGCAGCCGGAGATGCTAGGAAATTTTGGACAACTATCAAAGAGGTGTCAGGTAGACCACACATTCCCGCACCGTTCCCGGTGGAGGCCTTCTGTGACGGAAGCACTGCTACTCCTGACATAAAAAATATCAGCCAACAATTCAATGACTATTTTGCTAATGTAGGCTACAACCTAGCTAGCGCTATTAATCCAGTGGGGCCACCCGAGGTGGAGGATCATCACCATGCCTTTCATTCTGTATTTGAGCTGAAGCCGATCAATCAAGATCAACTAATAAATATAATTAATAGTATAAAAGGATGCTCTGCTCCAGGATGGGATAACATCCCTGCAAAACTTGTTAAGACCTTCTCAAATTATCTTGTTCAACCCCTTTTACATTTGATAAACCTTAGTATCCGTTCAGGAGAGTTTCCTGACCTATTCAAAATTGCAAAAGTCATCCCTATCTACAAATCTGGTGCCAAAGCTGAAATGAGTAATTTTAGACCAATATCTTTACTAACCACCATAGATAAAATTCTAGAAAAATGTGTAAAGATCCAATTAACTAATTATCTTGAAACAAATAAAATTTTATCTGAATCACAATATGGATTTAGGAAAGGGAAAAATACTTCCGATGTTTTATTTCACTTAACCAAATTAGTAAATGAGAAAATCAATGGAAAAAATAAAATCATTTTAACTTTCCTAGACTTAGCAAAGGCATTTGATTCTGTAAATAGATCAAAATTATTACAAAAACTTGAATTAATAGGGGCAAAAAATAACACACTAAACTGGTTTTCTTCCTATTTCAAAAATCGTAAACAATATGTTTGTATTAAGGGAATAAATTGTGACCCAACGATTGTTGACTATGGCGTGGTTCAAGGAAGTACACTTGGACCTCTGCTATTTCTGGTATACATTAACAACATATCCAAATTAAATATAAATGGAAGCATATTTCTGTTTGCTGACGACACGGCTTTGGTATCATACGGAAGCACCTGGGATGAGGTTTACAATAAGGCATCCTCTGACCTCATCAAAATAAAAAACTGGTTTGATCACAATCTACTTTCTGTTAACGTACAAAAAACTAAAAGTTTGCCAATTATCCTTAGAGATAATTATGGCCCAGGACAGAGGATCCTAAAAATGCACTCTTGTGGCGATCCGGAGTCCGTCAACTGTGGATGCGAAATCATTGAAAAGGTTTTAACTTATAAATATCTAGGTGTAGTCATAGATCAAAAATTATCATGGGTGCCACACATACAGTACTTAAAACAAAAATTAAGAAAAATGATTTATGCTTTTGGGCAGTTGAGCCACGTGCTCACTCCGGATCACTGCAGGAGTGTGTACATCGCCTATGTGCAATCTATAATGCAATACGGGGTTCTGGCGTGGGGTGGTGCCTCCTCCGCCGTACTGGAGCCACTGGGGGTGACACAGCGCTCTATAATAAAAACCATTCTAAAAAAAGGGCAAAGATATTCTACTGATCTGCTATTCCACGATTTTCCTGTACTTAATATCAGACAATTATTTATTAAAACCCTTCTAATCTACATTAAAGACAACAAACACAAAATTTTCACACAACCAACTCACACATATATAACAAGAAACCGATTAAACTTTGGATACACAATACCCAGATTAGGTTACAGAATAGAGCTTTCTAATCCATTTTATATTGCACATCAATTATACCGAAATCTTCCAAATAATATCATTCAGGCAGAGAGTAGCAGTGCAGCCGTTTTCGCGAGATTAGTTGGAGAGTGGCTGTTACACGTCGGCCCCACGGCTGCTGAAAATTTAATTCATTCACCATACGTTTGAATAAAAAAAATAATAAAAAATCTATTAAATCTCCAACTTATCAGCCAAGTTGGGCTATATCAGGCATGGGCTATGTCAAAATTTTTAAACCGGATTGATTTTTGTTTTTAAATTGTAAGAATTATTTTATTTTATTTTGAGGGGTATCTTTAATTTTTTAATTTTTAATTTGCTTTAACTTAACAAGTGTTTAGAACTTATATTCTGATGGTTATATGTTGGCCAGGACTAAGATATTTTATTTTATTTTTAATTTTAATGAATAAGTTATATTATTGTTAACTAGAAAAGTTGTTTTATGTAAGTGTATATATTTTTTAAGAGTGACCAGCGAGTGCCATGGACTCTTCCTCACACACAGACGTGTAGTCTTGTGAGGAATATTTTTTCCTTTATATAAAATATGTCACTTTTTATTTATTGTACTTTATTGGAAATAAAGAATCTTGAATCTTGAATCTTGAATCTTGAATCTTGAATCTAGTTCAGCTAATCTC